TCATTTTGCACGTCGTATACGTCATACTTTCCTCATCATCTCAAACGCTGATCCACCATACTCTCGCACACATTGTTATACCTACCTCCTATACGTACTTCCCTGCCATGGCGTGTAGTGTTTGGCTAGCATAGTTCCAATACACATTACGACACCTTTCGATGCTAGGCATTCCTCGCCTACAACACGATTGAGTATTGTAGAGAAGTAGTCTTTGCTCAGCTCGTCGAAGTTCTGTTTGCATCCAAACACTTTTTCCAAACTCACACCACACGTCATATATCTAACAAAACAACAAACTTCATTGCACAGTCTTCTACCACCATCTCTTTCTTTATATAAACCTCCTTCAAGTTCACTTTTTGAGACCATGAAACTACAATGCAGGTGTATTATTATGTAACATTGAGTAAAGTAACCGTCTACACCCGGAAATGTCACTCACATACCCACTCACATACCCACTCACATACCTGTAAGAACTAATTGGCAAGGTACAGGGACCAGTTCTCCGAGTGTTGCAACGGTAAACGACATTTGAATCGACCCAATCTGGGGCTACATACATGTAGGTAAAACGAATATTAAGAAATTGTGCTAATATATTCAAAATTCGTCTCACTGCCATTGCCCTCCTAGGAAGCTCATCAGTATTATAATATCGTCGTGAGACGTTCTATCGAAACAGTAGTTGCAGGGACGCATGCCAAAGTGACCAACAGCAACGACATTTGAGAACACTGGGATATTGGCCATCCTTGCTCCTTGACTATAGTCGCTGTTGAATACCGCTGATAAACGAGTGGATATATATAGAATGCATGTACAAAAGACATAACCAAACCACGTATCGCCACCATGAAGTCGGGACTTCGAGGCTTACCACTTTGTAGCATTGCTCAATCGATTTTAGGGGCACACGCATGATGACTGACCCGGGGGACGTCAACATTCACATACTTTAATAATTTCATCCAATTCCTTCGAATTGGGCCCGCCTCAATCGCCCTTGTCGACCTTCCATGGTGCCAATATTTTTTCGGCTGAAGCCTCGGTAGGACAGTTCCAGAAGAAGAGAACCAGACAGTGAAACAGAGACATAAATACAAGGACAGGCAGACAGACAAACGGAGAAGAAGACAGACAAACATAGAGAGACAAGTAGAGACAACCAAACAGACAGAGACAGAGACACAGGGAGAGACACAGAGAGAGACAGACAGAGAGGCAGAGAGGGAGACAGAGACAGAGAGAGAGAGCCAGAAAGAGAGAGAGAGAGAGAGAGAGAGAGAGAGAGAGAGAGAGAGAGACAGAGACAGAGACAGAGAGAGACAGAGACAGAGAGACAGAGAGAGAGAGAGAGAGAGAGACAGAGAGAGACAGAGACAGAGACAGAGAGAGAGACAGAGAGACAGAGAGAGAGACAGAGAGAGACAGACACAGAAAGAGAGAGAGAGAGAGAGAGAGAGAGAGAGAGAGAGAGAGAGAGAGAGAGAGAGAGAGAGAGAGAGAGAGAGAGAGAGACAGAGAGACAGAGAGACAGAGAGAGAGAGAGAGAGAGAGAGAGAGAGAGACAGAGAGAGAGACAGAGAGAATGAGAGAGAGAGAGAGAGAGAGAGAGAGAGAAAGAGAGAGAGAGAAAGAGAGAGAGAGACAAGCACACCCACAGAAACAGAGATAGAAAACTGATAAGGAGAGAGCGGAGCGGAGAGAAGGAAACAGATATAGAGTAAAAGATAGAGATAGAAAAGAGAGACAGAGGGAGGGACAAAAAGAGACACACAGATAATGACTGAAGAGGAGAAGCAGACAGAGAAACAGAGGCAAGCAGATAGAGAAAAGAGACAGAGGGAGGGACAAAAAGAGACACACAGATATAGACTGAAGACGAGAAGCAGATAGAGAAACAGAGGCAAGCAGATAAAGACAGAAATACAGAGCGAGAGATGGACTGAACGGAAGACAGACGGATGCACAGAGAAAAAGACAGATAAGGAAGGGCACACAGACATAACGAGATAGGTAGACAGCTAGAGGATGACAAAGACAGGCATGCAGACAAACCAAGACACAGACCAGACAGAGACACATAGACACAGAGAGAGAGGGACAGACAGATAGATGGACAGAGAGATTGATAGAGTTGAGAGAGAGATTGATAGAATAGAGAGTGACAGACGGACAGACAGAAGAAGTAGCGACGACCCGGCCATTATGGAATCCAATAGACCACACCACCACATTGCGCTCTTGGCCAGGTGAGAGAGAGAGACAGACAGACGGACAGACAGACCGGGAGACACACAGACACGAGAGATTTCGTTCGTTGTGTTTCTAATACTTCAGTACGTGTACTCCAGTACAATTCGGTTTTTTTGTTTTTTTACATAGACCACTTAAATGCCAAACATGACATGCAGCTAGGGGAAGCACGCACAACCAGGTAGAAGCAGAATGCACACAGAGTGCTGAGAGTTGACGAATGCCGCGAATGCGGAGTGTAGTAGACACTACAGCAGCGAAGCAAAGCTGATTTGTTGTAATGCTGCCTGACTGCTTGCACTGGGCATGAAACTCAGAGTTGCAATGAATCATCATTGTTCCATTGGTGTACTTTGTGCAAAAACTTATAGTGAGGTGAACTCATAAAACAGTGAGCCGAAAAAATAGTGTTAAAAAGCCGATTCACAAACCAGGTAAAGACAGGAAGAGAGAAAGAAAGATATGTGCGCGTATACTCTGCACCCGCGCATGCACCCACACACCACACACGCACACACACACACACACACACACACACACACATACACACACACACACACACACACGTACACACACACAGACACACAGAAGGGAGTTGATGGGTGAGCATTGCGAAACCATGGGACATGTCTGTCCCCAGTGTGCCCTTAAGGAGATAAAGAGATAGAGATAGATAGAGAGATATCTCTGGCAAAGTACGTTCGGCCCTCTCATGTGGGGTAGTGTCTTTGCTGTTTGCATTACGCAAAGCTCACTGACTTGTCAGTCTCAGCACTCTGGCAAGGTACGTTTGGGCCTGGTTTACATCTGGCTTTGGACATTTCTTACATCACTACTGTATCAGGTTCGACATCATTTTCTCTGTGCTGCGCTGATGAGCCCACAAAGGACGAAACAGTTCTGTCCGCAATTTGGGTAAAGACAGATATAGAGAGGGGAGAGAGAGACATAGATAACTCTGATAACTTTTTATTGTGCATACTTTTCCCCGTAATCCGCAGTTATCTACCCCCCCCCCCCCTGCGTATTTTCTGTAATCTTTTGTTTTTGTGGAGCGCTTGGGTTGCAATGAAGCCGAGACCCTATGGTCGGTCAAGCTGCCCCTGCCTCTCCCCCACTCCTGCCATTCCATATGTCTCATCGCTGCCTTGCTGCTTTGTGCCATCAAATGGTGTGTGGTTTTTTTGTAAAGAAAAAAAAAATAGGCAGCTGTCTTGGCCATTGTAATCCGATGTATTCCGTGTGGCGTGGACCAGGTCTGCATTGAGAATCATTTCACAAGGCCTCGCAATAATTATACGGAAATGGGCAGTGATGTGGTGCAAGTCTTGATATGCTTCACTCGGGTAATATCTGATATCATTGGCATAAGAGAAAATCAGTGGTTATCGGTTGTACATCCACTGCACTTGCAGATTTGCGTGTTTCTCTGGCGACGAATGCTCATCGTACTTAGTGTCTGTGTCATTTCGAAATGTGATAGCCGAAAATTAAAATTTCACACAAACCTCACTGAACCTGGTCCCATTGCTCATGACAAGCAAGGTCCCGGGTCCGAGTCATGATGGATCTGGCGTTTTGTTCTCTTTTCAGGCAGTTCACTCCCCCGACTGATCCTTTGAATTTGAAGTTTTCCCAATCCTTTCAAAATCACTTGGACTTTTTTTAAATTGTACAAAAGACGTTAAAAGCCATACTTATTGTTCCTCTGGTATGGTGGCATGAGTGCGTATACATTGTTTCTATCGATTATAGGAGTTTTGTCTCCTCGCCGGCTTATTAACAATTTTGAGTAATAATGCTATCTATCCGAAAACTTTAAAAACATTTATGGACAATGAACTCAAGGAACTCAGTCAGGATAGTTAATACTGATTATATCAAGAACTCAAATTGTGAGCCAAAAGGAAAACAAAGTGTAACATGGAAAAACGATTCCGCCAACTAAACCAGATTTTAAATGGTCAGCCATGCACAATCTAGCACAAAACTGACAAGGAGTACTGCGACATTCCACGGCATGAAAGTCCGCTTGAATTTAATTGAGCACTGCTCAAGCCGACTGAATGTACGGATCCTAGTACATGTACATACAAGTCATGATGATTGTAGAATGGATGTAGCACTGTCTCGAGTGGAGTTCGGAGCCTTAGGACGTTCTCAGCAAGTGCTACACTTGAGATGCACTGGACAAACCCATCAAGCAAGGCAACGTTGTTGCTCATAGGGTTCAAGCTGCTGGTTGTTTCTCAGTGTCCTTGGAGTGAATATCGCTCAATAGCATTGGAGAGCTACATGTAGTCTATGATGCTCTGCACTGCTATCGTCAATACAACTATTACTTCACACGCCATTATACTTCGCACCAGTTATCACCATAATGCATAATTACACAAAGGCACACAATGAAAACCTTGGCAAATTAATTCCGTTGTTACTCAGAGTTTTCATTGTGTGCCTTTGTGTACGCCGCTCTGCCTGAATCAGGCATTGAGAACCAAAAAATATTGCCTCTGTGTATAATGCATAATTATAATTATGTACATTCCACAGTGCAGCCACGGCCAGTGTGTCACAAGGACCACTTCAATTCACCCTGTCCAGCAAACCCATGTCCGCACATTGTACAACATGTGCCTCAGCTGACCAGTGGACAAAATCGGCATCGTGAACAAAATAACCCTCGACTGGGTAGTGGGTCAATGTGTATAATGCAGGTACACCGGTATACCCGCGTATTGGAATGCTGGCACATTATGTAGTTCTTTCCAGAAATGGATCTACGGGGAGCAATTCTTAGTCGGAGTGTATCAGTCTTGTATCGTGTTCTGCTTGTAGACCAGGGGCCTGGGCTGTTGTCATGCATGCAACGCATGGAACTGCGTTAGGAGCTGCATCCGCGCCTTGATCTTGAGCATGCTGACGTTCCTGCCTCAGCGAGAACTCAGTCTGACTAGACCTCACGCGAGCAGAGAAGCCGTTTTAATACTTCATTACGTGCACTGTGTGTGATACTCATTCAGCAGGGCGAACCGTGCGCTTGTCAACACTTTACTATTGGTCTCCAAACGCCCGCCGCACCATCCCGACGCAAATAACCAAATCCGACTCGTGGGATGAAGCTGCCAAGATGCTTTCTCCGCCTCCAGTCAAGCTATTGGCTGATGCTAGCGGTGACTACATTGCTTGTGACACTCTTGCTCAGCCCAGGAGTCGTGCAAAGGCCCCGGGAGCACAGCACAGCAACAGCATCACCGCGCAACCCTAGCCCACAGGCACTGCAGAGGACATCAATTTCTCTCGGGTCAGTGGAACACCATAGCAAAGAGGCTCTTCAAGATCTGCCAGTAACTGCCCACGCCAGTAAGTATCCCCTGCCAAAGTCCCAAAAACCGAGCAATGGAGAGGCTATCCAGGCAAACGGCAGATCCGACCTGGCTGTGGATGCTGGCGAGCGGTGGTACAGGTACGGAAAGCCCTTCCATGCAACATCCCTTGCAGATGTATCGTTTGTGTTCAAGGCAGCTGACGTGAAGGGCACAGCGCTACTTCTGTACGCACAGCTTCTCCGAGGTATCTTTCATTCTGTTCACGAGCAGTACGTCACAGTTGTTCTAAATGCTTCGGTAGTTACCGTGGCATTGAAACTTAACCTTGCCGCGAATGAACGGGGAGATAAGGTCCAAATGGCTAGCACTGATCAAAGGATAGAGGCGAATGTCTGGTATTCATTGTGTATAGTGACGGCACCAGTGCTGCGGGTCTATATGCAAAGTGTAACAAAAAAGAATGTTCATCTAACTGATGCTCAATTGACCAAATGTGGGCAAAGCGAGAGCTCTGCTGAAAAGCCGTCCAAGCCTGTTTTAGTAGATTCTGGATTGTACTTTGGCGGTGTCATTGACTGGCAGGCCTGCCCTGGGCTTACTACGCTACGCAATCTGCAAACATTTCGCGGGAAGATCTTGAGAAAGGTCTATGTGAATATGCAGGCAATCGACCTAGTGACCTGCACCACCGGGCATACAGCGGAGACTTGGAGAGAGCACATGTCCAAAATTGATATCAAATCTCCGATTTCGATTCCGTCTACCCGTACACTGAACACACTAGAGGACTTGTCAGTCCGCCACTTTCCCGTTCTATCAGCAATAAGCAGCAACCACGCTGTGGAGATTGAGGACATGATAGCATCTGTAGCCCAACACATGCCCAGGAGAGGCGTGATAATTTACCGTCTGGGTCTGTCCAAGGCGACCATTAAGTCTCTTTCGGCATATTGCAACGTGACTGTCCGTCATTTCAGGCAGGACATCTTCAAAGATCTTGCAGAAAACCTCCGTAACTTCCAGTGGAAGCCGTTGCTGGTTTACGGAGCGTTCCTGGAGTTCGATGGTGTTATCTGGGCTGATGCGTCAGTACGTTTTAAGCATCCAATACGGACTATCCCACTTGTTCAGCATGGCGTTGGCTTTGTGGGCTTTGAACAAGAAGGTGCGTCACCCATAGGTGCCTTCACGCACGACGGCATGTTGAAGGCGTTGGGAGTAGAGCGTTCTGCAGTTGTTACAGCAGCTATAGCGGTAGGAACGGTAAGTATATGGATGTGGCAGGGCCCTGTATCACAAACACTGGTACAGCACTGGACGGCCTGCTCAATGCGTAAAGTATGCATTGCTCCAAGAGGTGCAGTTATCGATTACCGGAAGTGTAGACTTCGCGAGCGTAAGTCGGGCAAATACATTGGATGCCATCGCTATGACCAAAGTGCGCTGAGTGTGCTTGCTGGGAAACTCTTTCAGTATCTGAACGAATCGCAGTACATTGTCAATGCTGACCCTCATGTGTGGATAGACCGTGGCCCAACGCGCCGCTTCCACCGTTGCAAACAGCCATAGAATATTTTGAAAGCAGAGAGGTTTTTTTAAATGTAATCGCTCGTGGCATTCTTGATCATTTCATCACATTTCGCCGGTATTTGCGGTTTATGTGAAGAAGAGGTTGGTGCGACTTCGGCGACACTAGGGGAATTCTAAGGTGTTGCTCCCTACATGGGAGCCCGCGCTATTCCTACCGACTTGAAGTTTTACGTGACTGACTCACGACTCGACGGCCACCCACAGCACACGAGAAGTCTGTCAAGTGAAAATTCAAGTCGGCAGGAATAGCACGAGCTCCCATGTAGGGAGCAAAACCGTACAAATTGCTATACATGTATAATTATGTGTAGTATGTGGCAGTATTTCTAATGCTCTTCACTTGAGCAGTTCCTTTTTCTTCCTTTTACGTGACAGAACCAAACGATCAGGTTTTTCCCAATATTACATTACCGGCGGATATAGCCGGTATGCTTAGAATGCTTCATGCAGTGGAGGCGTAAAGTGTTGCACATGACAGTAGTGGAACGAGAATAGGTTCTTGCAACTCTGGGTTTTTCTGCCCAGTAGATACAATCAACAGACAATTCTTAGGTTGCTGTTGACAACCCTTAAGTTGCTGTTGGCCACGACAGTATTATTGTACGTGTATGCAAGGAAAAAGGAGACCGGGTGCCGAAGTTTGTGCTCCGTTATTGCACTTCCTGGCCTTTAATTGATGTGTTGGTGGTTTATAGTAAAGAAGAGGACCGAGGAACACGCTATTATGTCCACTAACACCACCAGTTACTTGACAATCAGCTCACAGGAGTTTTTAGTCCACGTTCTATAACATGTAGTTGCGAATCAAGGAGGTGATGGAAGCCAACCAAGGCTGAGGAACGTAGAGAAATATAAATACTCGTAGAAAGAAAAGAGGGGAAAGGAAAAGGAAATGGTACCTGGAAGGGGACTTTTGGAATGCTGAGAGCTGGGCGTTAAAGTCTCTGAGCCATGATGTAAACTTAGTGGCAAGATCAGGAAGGAGAGCCAGGACCAGGGGCGAGTTAAGCAGTTTGACTGTCCGGGCTGCGGGTAGGATAAGCGAAATGCGTGCTTTCGTTATGATATCATGCGGCGTGTTATAATACAAATCGTTCCAGCCTTTTCTTTCTTAATGTGTGCAATGCTATAAGTGCCTGCATGTAGGGTTGCAGCTTCCCAAAATGCACTTAGTGATTTCTCGTTTACTTCAGCTCTCTGTATGACTTCAGATTTTTTATTTCATAAGTCCCATACGTACATATTGCAAACGTCCGCGGGTCTTTGACGTAATCTGGATGCCGTGAAACGTGCTCAGTGTAGAGCTTGTATTGAAATGTGCCTCCACCAATCACCACTAGCCGATGCCCACCCACAAGCAATTCCGTATCGATCAAGGAGCGCATGCCTGGGTTTCCCAGGACATCCTGGTCGGCAAGGGATGAATACTTCTCTACTAATTCATCCACAGTAGTAACTCGCAAGAGAATTGCACGGAGCTCGCGGAGCAGGTTTTGTCGGAGTTGCTGTACTTTCTCCTTGACTGTATGTGATTCGGAATGGTGATCAAAACTGACAATGAGGCCGCTGTTGTTATGGGGAGTGTCCTTGAGGAATTTCAACAGCGCGTGGAAACACGTCAGTGTGAACTGTTCGAGTCCTCCAGTCTGCAGGTTACCTCTGGCTTTGATCACCTCATAATCCTCTCGGAGATGCTCCATGCGAACATGGACAGCAGTGTAGTCGCTACCTAGGCCACCAACATGCAGTAATCGTTGTGATAGCTGACGAAGGCGAGCGGAAGTTTTAAAAGCAGCGAGTGGAACGTTAGGGGTACTGTGGGACGTTTCAACAATGCCATGGCGTCCAGCGCCTAACCAGAACGGCAATAGGAGGCATTCGCTGCTTTTGAACACTTCTAACTGCGACACCAGGCTCTCCATGGACCACCCATTCTTTGGGAATCCTACACAAGCTGTGCTGCGGAATGGTCCAAGGCTGAGCATCTCCGGATCCAGGCACTTCTCTACCCAAGTACAGTTATTATCAACTGTATCTTCGCTATGCTCAGCCGACTGCAACTTTTTCATCATGGCTCTCTCTGTGCGCAGCAAATCGGGCTGATCTTGACACATGGGCGTCAGATACAGGTAGTTGGAGACTAAATATATAATAGACCAATTCCCAGCACATTGTGATCTTGCCTGGCGTGCACTGATGAGGTGTGAGCCACCTTCCGTTAGCATTGTTTGCTTGATGTTCTCCAGATCAAAGTATTCCGACAGTATCTCAGGCTTTAGACCTCTGCGAAACTGATGTGGAACGTTACGCGACTCTTGCATGGACAGAAGATGGTTTCCAATGGCGAGTGGCAACACGGCGTCCCGTTGTGCTACTACAGCCAGGGACAGAAAGTCAGCCAGCTGCATGGTTGACCGGGTCAACTGCTCATTGGTAAACCAGCCAACAGCTAGAATGCGACTGGATTGCTTCTGCGCCTTCACAATCGGAGTCACACGGGCAAATCCACTTCCAGGTGTGATATTAGGACTCACAGTACTTCTTATTTCCCGTTGAGCAGTAGTTGTATTGAGTTTAGCACCACGTGTCCACACTACTGGCCAGCTAAACACTTTCTCCTCGTCAAACTGTTTCTTCAGAGCATTGTTTTCATTTACATGTTTACCGGGTTGACCATCCACTCCTTGAGTGGCTGGCTGTCTTTCTGAGTTCTGCTGGTTTCTGACTCTGCCCCACTGAACTCGTGCGGAGCTAATGGTTACATGTCCCATGTAAAACAGATATGGAAGAAGAAGTAAAGGCCAAGTTCGTGACAAAGTCTTAAACAAAAATGGTTTTATCGGTAGTCGTAACCGCCTATCCATCAGGGTTTCTCTCCGTTCTCCAACCCAATGACAATAGGCACGAATCTTTCCAAAGATGAGAAAGCAACGTATCCTAAGGCTTGTCTACTGTCAGCGGCGCGTCGTGACCTTGGCCTCAGCTAATAGTTTGCTACAAACAAAAGTCCGAAATCAGTTAATCCATAACGTTATGGAGCGTCTATCCGCTGGCTCTCCTATTTTTATAATTATTTTAGTGAAGCGACTGCAATCTACTAGTGCACAGAACCCGGGTGTTGAACTGATGCAGCCGTGCTCTGAATCATGTGTGCTAGTGCAGGTACGGCTGTGGAAGACAATGTGCACACCGTATAGGCGCAAATAGAACCCCGGGGCTCTATTTTTTTCTTCCAGAAGACAGATCATGGGGGGGGGGGTTATATTTGAGAAAGAGTGCTTTATTCGAGAGGGGGGCTCTATTTTAAATAGAAACACCAATGTCATGCAGTCGTATTTATTCAGCTTTTATTTCTTGTGTACTTGCATACTGGTATTAGTTTAGTCCCACAACCTGCGATAAAATGATCAGCTGTAGCACCTACTCCACTTTTATGCTTATGTATCCATGTCATTCGGATCTTCCCAAGTTGTACATTGTACTGTTGAGATACCGAATTCAAATAAATCAATACCATACCAAATACCAATTGTTTCACACTACTGTTGTTGCGGTTGAAATTTTATTTTGTTTACCCAACCAAACGGGCAATGATGCACAATTATGATGGCGATAAAGTAACAGCCAAAAGTGAAGGGTACAACAAGCAATAAAGAGAGAAAAACGCAGACTGTAAATACTCAAAAAGAAAAAGAGAACGGAAAAAAGGGAAAAAATACAATGGAAAAAGAACAAAAGAAAACCATAGCGAAAACAAAAACATAGTTGAGGCACTTCGCAGGTCGACTCTAAGTCCAAGCCTTGATGCTGACTAGCCATAAAGATTATAGCAATAAAAACTGCTTTATGGCAGTTTTCTAAAAAAAGTTATTGTGTTCTAGTCCATGGACCTCGTCTAAAAAGTAAGAAATTAACGAAATGTGATAGCTGAAAATTAAAATTTCACACAAAACCTCACAATAATCACAACACTTGAAATGCTGCTTTCAACCAGGGAGTAGTACAATACTACTCCCTGCTTTGAACACTAAACTTGTACTGCACCAACAATTGGCAACATGCATGCATAGGAAAGAGGATCGCGAGGGGAAAAGGTCTTCTGCATGTAGCTTTTCATTCTGTGTGTGATTATTGTGAGGTTTTGTGTGAAATTTTAATTTTCAGCTATCACATTTCGTTAATTTCTTACTTTTTAGACGAGGTCCATGGACTAGAACACAATAACTTTTTTTAGAAAACTGCCATAAAGCAGTTTTTATTGCTATAATTTCTTTTGTTTTTTCTGTCACCAATCAATGGAATGCCCTATATCAATATGTAAATGATGGCCTTCACATCATATCAATACCATATTATACGCATTGATGTGCAAGCCTTTTCTTGCAGAAAATGGCACTAGCATAATGCATGTTCTTCTGCGGGGAAACATGTGAGCAGTGGTGGTGATACTTTTTTTATACGGAGGTCATTCTGTGCATGTTGCTGTTGCAGAATTTCATGACTCTGTCTTGCCTTTCAGATATTTCAGATTACTCCACCCTCAATCAGATTTATTTGAGAAATGTAGCCATGCGGCAGGTGCGTGTCGCAGATGTTTTTGTTGATTCTGTGTTTATAATGGTTTATAGTCATGGGTTATCGTGATAAGGTCATCCAGCATCATATTGAAACTGAAATCGTAATCCTGTTGATGTCGATACAACTTTTGGAAGTAGTTCAATGACTTCAAACTGTTAGTCCACGATTGTCTAAAACAACACAGCAAAGGAGGAACAATAAACATGTATTAAAATGTAAACGAATACATTGCTGAGTCCAAAACCTCGTTCCAACAACTACACTGATCCTGAGGAGAAAAGGGGCAAGGCTATGGTTGGAGGTACTGAGAGATAAACAAGGCACTCCACAATAATAAAATCTTACACATCTTTTGGTGAGTATGAATGATATCCAGTCGAACCTCTTTAGGACGAACACCAAGGGACCGATGGTATTTATTCTGTGAGCTTAACCTATTTTATAACCAGAGAATACAATTATATCTCCAATAGACATACGAATAGATTTCTTCTACAGCGAAAGATTCTAAGCCACACCGACTCATCGTCTCGTATGAAACAATTGAGTCACTAGAGAGATTCTGCAAAACGAAAATGCGTACAAACTTTCGCTTTACATCATGAAGTGCGAAACTTGCAGGGAACGCGAAATGAACTGTCGTAGGAAATTTCGTGAGATCGGGTCATGGCGTAAGTGCACTTGGCCCGCGCAAACTACGAAAATGTGCAGAACGCAAAGTTCGTGCAAAAATTCGCACACACTTTCGCAAGGACTGTCGCGAAACTTCGTTCGAATTTTCGTTTTGCAGAACCTCTCTACTGAACCTTTCTTTAGCAACATGACGGCAACTGAAACAACAACAGAGAAAATACGATACATGTACAGCACATTCTTGCAGGTACTAGAAACAGATTGCAGATCGTAATTCTTGCTCTACCGGCACGAAACTTTATTTGAGGCAGTGCAATCTCGGCGGTACTCACAAATCAAACAGCCCAGACTTGAGTAAACAAATCCAATCATACAAGTACGAGATTTTCACGAGACGAGACTGCACCCATTGGCTTGTTTCGTATGAAACAAACAAGTTACTGAACCTCTCCACAA